GATAGATGCGGAAAAAGCATTCGACAAAGTACAGCATCCCTTTATGTTCAAAACTCTAGAAAAACTAGGGATAACAGGAACATACCTCAATATTGTAAAAGCAATCTATGCTAAGCCTCAGGCTAGCATCATTCTGAATGGAGAAAAATTGAAGGCATTCCCTCTAAAATCTGGAACAAGACAGGGATGCCCTCTCTCACCACTTCTGTTCAACATAGTTCTCGAAACACTGGCCAGAGCAATTAGACAGACGAAAGAAATTAAAGGCATCAAAATAGGAAAAGAAGAACTTAAATTATCACTATTTGCAGATGACATGATTCTATACCTAGCAGACCCAAAAGGGTCTACAAAGAAACTATTAGAGCTAATAAATGAATTCAGCAAAGTGGCAGGATATAAAATCAACACGCATAAATCAAAGGCATTCCTGTATATCAGCGACAAATCCTCTGAAATGGAAATGAGGACAACCACTCCATTCACAATATCTTCAAAAAAAAATAAAATACTTGGGAATCAACCTAACAAAAGAGGTGAAAGACTTATACAATGAAAACTACAGAACCCTAAAGAGAGAAATAGAAGAAGATCTTAGAAGATGGAAAAATATACCCTGTTCATGGATAGGCAGAACTAACATCATCAAAATGGCGATATTACCAAAAGTTCTCTATAGGTTTAATGCAATGCCAATCAAAATCCCAACGGCATTTCTTGTAGAAATAGAGAAAGCAATCATGAAATTCATATGGAAAAATAAAAGACCCAGAATAGCAAAAACAATGCTAAGCAGGAAGTGTGAATCAGGCGGTATAGCGATACCAGACTTCAAACTATACTACAGAGCAATAGTAACAAAAACAGCATGGTACTGGTACCAAAACAGGCGGGTGGACCAATGGTACAGAATAGAGGACACAGAAACCAATCCACAAAACTACAACTATCTTATATTTGATAAAGGCGCTAAAAGCATGCAATGGAGGAAGGATAGCATCTTCAACAAATGGTGCTGGGAAAACTGGAAATCCATATGCAACAAAATGAAACTGAATCCCTTTCTCTCGCCATGCACAAAAGTGAATTCAAAATGGATCAAGGAGCTTGATATCAAATCAGAGACGCGCCGTCTGATAGAAGAAAAAGTTGGCTACGATCTACAGTCGGTGGCGTCGGGCTCCAAATTCCTCAATAGGACACCCATAGCACAAAAGTTAATAACTAGAATCAACAAATGGGACTTACTCAAACTAAAAAGTTTTTTCTCAGCAAAAGAAACAATAAGAGAGGTAAATAGGGAGCCTACACCCTGGGAACAAATCTTTACTCCTCACACTTCAGATAGAGCCCTAATATCCAGAGTATACAAAGAACTCAAAAAATTAGACAATAAGAGAACAAACAACCCAATCAACAAATGGGCCAAGGACCTGAACAGACACTTCTCAGAGGAGGACATACAATCAATCAACAAGTACATGAAAAAATGCTCAACATCTCTAGCTGTCAGAGAAATGCAAATCAAAACCACCCTAAAATACCATCTCACTCCAGTAAGATTGGCAGCCATTAGGAAGTCAAACAACAACAAGTGCTGGCGAGGATGTGGGGAAAAGGGTACACTTGTACATTGCTGGTGGGACTGCAGATTGGTGCAGCCAATTTGGAAAGCAGTATGGAGATTTCTTGGAAAGCTGGGAATGGAGCCACCATTTGACCCAGCTATTCCCCTTCTTGGTCTATTCCCTAAAGACCTAAAAAGAGCATGCTACAGGGACACTGCTACATCGATGTTCATAGCAGCACAGTTCACAATAGCAAGACTGTGGAACCAACCTAGATGCCCTTCAATAGACGAATGGATAAAAAAAATGTGGCATTTATACACAATGGAGTATTACTCTGCATTAAAAAATGACAAAATCATAGAATTTACAGGGAAATGGATGGCATTAGAGCAGATTATGCTAAGTGAAGCTAGCCAATCCCTAAAAAACAAATGCCAAATGTCTTCTTTGATATAAGGAGAGTAACTAAGAACAGTGTAGGGACGAAGAGCAGGAGAAGAAGATTAACATTTAACAGGGATGAGAGGTGGGAGGGAAAGGGAGAGAGAAGGGAAATTGCATGGTAATGGAAGGAGACCCTCAGGGTTATACAGTGGAGGAGGTAGAGAGAGAGGAGGGGAGGGGAGGGGAGAGGTGGGGAGGGGGGAGGGTGGAGGATGGGAAAGGCAGCGGAGCACAACAGACACTAGTATGGCAATTTGTAAATCAATGGATGTGTAACTGATGTGATTCTGCAATCTGTGTATGGGGTGAAGGTGGGAGTTCATAACCCACTTGAATCAAAGTGTGGAATATGATATGTCAAGAAATTTGTAATGTTTTGAACAACCCACAATAAAAAATTAAAAAAAAAAAATGAAGAGGGCCGGGTGTGGTGATACACACCTGTAATCCTAACAATGCAGGAGGATTACAAATTCAAGGCCAGCCTCGGCACCTTAGGGAGATCCTGTCTCAAAATAAAAAAATAAAAAGGGTTGGGGGATGTAGCTCAGTGGTAGAGCACCCCTAGATTATTACAATTCCCCTTATTGGGGCACTGTGGGGGAAGAGGGGCGCACAGGCGTAAAAGAAGAAGCTTAATATGCTGCATAAGAATTTTGAGGACATGAATGCAATCTAAAAATGCAATGAACATCTTGAGGCAAATCTATAGAATCATCAACATCCGAGCTTTCTAATAAACTGAATTTTAATACCAGTGTTTCTTTTACTTTCTGTCTTTGGTGATCCCTTGTGAGTAGAAATCAAATTATACTTAACTAATATCAGCAAATATACATGTGTAACTATACAGAATGGCCAAAATCACCCGAGCAAGTAATGCTAATTTTTGCTTATCTTTATTTAATATATGCTCAAGGATGAAATCTTTTCTTTCTTTCTTTGTCTTTTCTTTTTATCTCAGTACTGGGGATTGAATCCCGGGGCAATCTACCACTGAACCAAGCCCTTTTAAAAAACTTTTTACTTTGAGACAAGGTTTCCTGATTAAGTTGTCCGAGCTGGCCTCAAACTTGTGATCCTCCTACCTCAAGTTCCCAAGTTTCTGAGATTAGAGATGTGTGCCAACACACCCAGCAGGAATAAAATATTCAAACTATTTTTTTAACTAATTTTGGAAATGAAATAAAATCCCATCTTTAACACAAAGAACTCTCTAGACAAACAAGTTCTTTCTTAGGGAGGCAGGGCTCCAAATCATCAGTGGGGCAGAACAGGGTGTCTAGTGGAAGAAATATTATACTTCACCTTACCCAAGGCTATAGTTGGATAATGAATGCCCCCCAAAGGTTCAATATAAAAGCTCGGTCCCAAGGTATTGGGAAATATAATGGACCTTTAAGGGGTGGGCTAGGCTAGTAGGAGGTCCTTAGAGCACTGGGCACATGCCCTAGAATGGAATTGTGGGACCCACTCATCTTTTCCCTGCTTTCTGGCTTCAGATGTCCCTGACACCTACTCCTGCCAGGATGTGGCACCCTTGCCGGAAGCCCAAAACATCAGGGTTGTCCAATCTTAGACTTAAACCTCCAGAACCATGAGCCAAAATAACCTTCTCTTGACATCACAGTAGCCTAAGTCAAGTATTTTGTTATAGTCATTCAAAGCTGACTAACACACTCAGAAATGAATAAAAGTTTTGGTCAATTAAAAAAATCACAGCCAGCTGAACTTGAAGTCCTTCCCAAGGTTGGCAACTAGTTCTGTCTTACAACTGTTCCACAGGATTTTTTCAAAATATGCAAACGAGCAAATGGCCATCAATATGAGAGAGCTCTGAAATGCAGACTGGCCTTCAGGTCTCCATCGTAACCTAGAATCATACTATGAGGCAGCCTCACTTTTCTAGCTACCCAGGGATCCCCAGCACCAAGGATCCTTTAAGGTGATTTGGATCTCCTAAAAGTACTCTACAAAAATTCTACTTTGTGGGTTTTTCCAGAAGTTTCTACCATCTAGGTATCTCTGGATAACAAAGGTCAAAACTAGACAGTCCCACTGGCTGCTTGTGTATTTGCAAATCTAGGTGTTCATCTTCTAACAGTCAGACAAAACAGAGGTCTTCTCCAGAAATCAGAGGGAAAGAACAGTTTCTAGGGTTCCCCCACACCATGGCAAGCCAATTCATACTGTGAAATACTCTGATGATGTATGTGAAGAATTATTTGCAATATATACACACACGGATGCATTTCCCCATCTTTCAGTTATGCAAGGTAATGTTACAGAATGTATTTATAAAGTGAAAATTACAAAGTAAAGTAAAACTGTCTGGATGTATGACAGAATGTGAAATGCCTGACAGTTGTTTATTAGCTGATTCAATTCATGAGATACTTTAAGTTCTAGTCTAAAAATAAGAACAATAACCATCATAAAAATCACTTTGAACAAACATCATCTGTGGGTTGACAGGTACTGAACTACATGTTTCTAATTCATTCCTAGAAAATAAAACAGACTTAGAACATGTAATGGTCTCCTAACACAAATAATATATTTATAAGAACTCTGTTGGAAAGGATACGGAAACAGTTTAAAATGTGAAAAAGAACTATTTGGGTAATAAAAATTGTTTCAAAAATGCAAAAAACTGAGAACACCTAATAGCCACATAGAACGTCCCTACCCCTGCAGACTCAGTAAAATGGATGGATGGTAAATATTGCCTCAAGGAATTTGATACATTAGCAATTCATTTCAAAAAAGAGATAGAAATTACTTCTGAACTTGGTAAAGAACAAATTGACAACTCCCATCCCCACTAATAACTATGACATGATCAGCATAGGGCCACCAGTCACTATGACAGTTAAGGACCAAGAGCAACACCCCTGAATAGCATGGAAATCTCCAGCTGAGATGAAGACTGATAGTGGACAAGCACTCAGCAAGGCCACCTACAGGAGGGACCTCTACCTGGACCCTTACCTCTTCCTTATTTTCCTTGGGACTGGCTGTCCCACAAAGGCTCAGCTGAGGGTGGCTGCCACTACCACTTCCATTGCCACCTTCGTCACCACATGTGGTTTGCACCGAGTCCTGGAAGGACACAGGCCTTGGCTCTCTCTGAGTGGAATCTTCTGTCCTTTCTTCACTTTCCACTGAACTCAGTGACAATGCACTGAGACTGTTGGGACACTTGGTGCCTCCTGTCCCTGGGCTCTGAGGGCTCTGGGGCTTGGGCGAGGTGGGCCTGAGAGGGATGGGAGGCTGCCTGGGGTCAAATGTAAACTGGCTGCCTGCATTTGGCTCACTGGAGGTTTTGCTCAACACTTTCGAGTCAACTGGACTTGAGGGGCTGCTGGCAGAGGGACCATCACTTTCTGATGCCCGGGAGCTTTGGGCTTCAAGAGGGAACACTGCTGTGTCAACGTCCAGGCGGGGCTCCTGAGAAGGGGTAGAGCTGAAGCCAGGAGCTGTGGGGCAGGACGCAGCAGCACTGTGCCCCGGCAACACGCCTCGCCTTCTGTCCTGCTCGGTGCTGCTGGACACGCGGCGTGAGTAGTCATCATGCAGCCTGCTGTGCAGCCGGAGTCTGAGGTTTGCCTCACTGGGGGAGGGGGCCCCATTCTTGGAACCCTCTCTCTTCCAGGCAACATCAGTCACATTGCTCATAAGTTTTAAGACTCTGTCAAAGTCCTTGGCCCTTATGGGGCTCTTCCAGCGTTTCATCCTTCTCTCTGACCCACCAAGTTTTTCGGAGTCTGCAGATGAACTGCTCAGGGTCCGTTGGGGTGTTTGCTTTTCATTAGCCGCTCGGAGGTCTGCAAGATTGGAGGTGGACTTTCGTTTGAAGGAACTTTTCTTCAGAAAGTTTAAGTTGTCTGTGCTCTTGCTCCTCCTGTAGATGATGCTGTTGTTTTCAGAGTCCTTCACTAGGATTTCACACAGGGTGGGCTCCTGAATGATGGGGGACAGGGGCCTAACATGGTTCTGAGGGGTGTGATGTTTCTCAGAATCCAGTAGATTGATGCGGCCCAGACCATAGGCCCTGCGGATGCTGCGGGAGCGGTGGGTACTCCTCTGGAAGGCATCGTCTGTGTCCTCGGGGTCAGAGCCATCGGATGTACCTCCTTCCCCTGCCCTGTGGGGGTCACATGACTGTCCCAACAAGGAACATCTGCTAGCATCAATTCCCACACCATTAGGGATTGCTTTTCCCAGGTCATGTTCTGATGCATCTTCCTTTGAGGCACCTAAGCCCTCCCGGTTCTGAATTCCTTGAAAGACAGAAGACTTCAGTTTTTTAAAAGATCCCATTTTCCGGAAGGAGGCCAGTGCATTCCATGTTGAAGAATTCCCCATCAGGACCATGGAACGGGGCCTCTCAGGATTGGCACTCATTCTTTTCCGGCTCACAGCGAAAAGACGCACGAGTTTGGAAGGGCTGACTCTGTCTTCGGGGGCTTCAGTGTCACTGCTGGGGCTGCTCCTACAGCTTCCATTCTGACATGCCGGGACAGTCACCATTCTGGGGTCCTTTGGATCTGAGGCTGAACAGGTGGCTGCAACACCTTGCCCATGGCCATTCTGAGCTGTTGTCATGTTCTTCGGGCAGGGCACCCGTGGCCACAATGCAGTGTGCTTCAGACCCACATAGACATCTGTGTCCATAGGTCCCAGCTCCAGACCTTCATCTCCAGGGCCACCAGCCTGGCCTTCATAACTACTGTGTTCATGGGTCTCTGCAGAGGTGGCCACTGCCTGCAGCAGAAAAGAAAGCAGACAGTTAGCCATCTTGCCCACAGAGGAGCCTTTATAATCAGGGTCTAATTACTATGCTTAACAATTGCTAATAGAAAAAAAAGAAAGGCAAGTCCCACGATCAAACAAGAACTGCTTCTAAATTAAAGTTGTATTTTTCTTTTTTTTTTTTCAATTCATTTCATAATAAATCAAGGCAAGAATGCAAACATATAGTCCTAAAAAAGAAAAAGATAGTTATGGGTTGGAAGAACTCCTGTATTGCTGAAACCTATTTAAGTAAAAGGTTTTTTTTTTTTAAAACTGCTGGAATGAACATGTCAAGGCAATAATCAAAATTGTGTCTTCTCTTTATTTGAACTGAGTCTTTTGTTACCAAATACTAAAAACAAATACAAAGACAAAACTATTTCAAAACGTGTCACACTGAAATGCCAGCTAGCCTGTGTTAAATGCAATGCAGTCAATACACAAGCAGAGTTCATGGAATACTGCTGCTCAGAGTATGATGGTGACCAGGATGCTCTTGGCTACTTCCTGTCTAAAGAGGGCTGTAAAGCACCAGGAAAGTGAGAGCTTCACAAAGCTACATGGACACATGGGTAGGAGGGACCAAACCAAGGAAGCATGAGGAAAGGCTTTGTAAAGAAAACACAGTTAGCAAAGAGACTTTTCAACAGATTCTAACTGGCCATAAAATGAAGAGATGTGGGGCGGAGCCTGGAGTATTAAAAATTCAGACCTAAGAATTCAAATTAAACAAATACTGTACCCTCTTTCCTAATCTCACATGCCCAGACAACTGTACATACCTGGCCCATGCACTTCCCCACACATGCACCTGTCTCCACACTCCCCCGACGTGTCCATGCCCTCCTTGCCCCACCAAAGTGAAATCTGTGCTACCCTTAATCTTCCCCCCTCATCAGGCGAGATCTGTTGAGTTTCCATAGGATAGCTTAAAAACATCACAGCCTGCACATTCTGAATAAATCATTAGTGAATGAATGACAGATAATAACTACAAGAGACTACCATTTAGTTAGTACTCATTACATGTCTGTATCCTATGCTAAGGTCTTGAAAAACTTGATGCCACTGAGTACTCAGGCAAATCTCAAAGAGTTCGACATGATGATTTCCACTTTATATTTTTTGCGCTACTGAGGATTGAACCCGGGGCTTTACACATGCTAGACAAATACTCTATCACTAATCTACATCACTAGTCCTTTTATTTTATTTTGAAACAGGGTCTCACAAGGTTTCTCAGGCTGGCCTTGAAATTGCAATCCTTCTGCCTCAGACTCTTAAGTAACTGGGATTATGTGCCACCATCCTGAGCCATGATTTCTACTTTACAGACAATCAAATGGACTCTTGGGAAGGTCAGGCTATTTGAATGGGGGTCCTGCAGCTGCCTCTCCGTGCCTATGCTGTTCTCCACTGCACTAAACTAATGAGCAGAGACAGAGGCACAGCAGGGATTTGCACCCCAAGCATCTGTCTTCAGTTCCATCATGTCATGACCCTGACAAATCAAGTTCCAACAATCTTTACAGGCCTGTCAAGGACATTACCCCCAAGGCAGGAGGGAAGAAGTAAGAGGAAGTTGTAGAAAGACCTTGAGATTAGATCTCCAAGTAGCTTACTCTTCACAAGTGCAGAATTTGACCTCCAGAAAAGTATGTGTCCTCTATGTCCTACCTTCTTGGTGAGCTTTTTACTGGCCCCTGCCTACTATTCAGTGAGGAGGATTCCCAGGGAGAGCCATGGTTAAAGGGTTAAAGGGTTGATTCCATCTGAGACCAGGGAGGCTACACTGACAGCCAGCATCAGCCAATACACTAATCTAAAGACTGATGGGCTACTAAATGCCCTCTGCAGTTTTAATGTTCTAATGGAGACATGAGGGGGATCTGAAGGGCTGTGGACTGCATTTGAATGAGTCAAATAGGCAAAGTCTAGAATCATCTCCACACTGAGACTGGATGTGAAATTTGTGACAAGTTCCAAAATAAGTCCTACATTCAGTATCACCTGTCTATCCTCACCAACTCTGTCCAACTATTCACCTCTATCCTCACCTATTCTGGGAGGGATAGGGGACTGTGGTTGTTTCAACATTTCAAAATGCTGAAATGTACCAAATAGTTTAACTGAATATTCAAATCCAGTTCACAGGCGCTAATTGGCTACGCTTGAAGTTGGAAAGGTCTAATTATGACTTGCACTAGACACACAGTGTAGCCAAAAGCTTGGTCCTCATCCTTGATGCCAATCCAATAAGGAAGACATGGTCTTGATAAAAAGAAAAAAAAAAAAAAGGTTTATTGCTTTGCTAGCAAAGGAGAAACACAGAGGACTCCTGTCCCAAAGGCTGTGGTTCTGCTCATCCTCAGTAACAGGGGGTTTTATAGAGGTGATTCAGAGAAAATGAGATTAAGGACAAAGATCAGAAAGGAGAAGTTTAGGGAAAAGAAGATCAGGGAGAAGAAGTTTAAGGAAAAGAAGATTGCGAAAAAGAAAAAGCATGTAGCTTTCAAAGCCACAAGGAATATACTCAAAGCATCAAGTGAACAACCCCTGTTACAACAGGACAAGGCATGATTCCTGCCACATAATTCAACTGGACAACTACAGATACCACAAGTAGAAGGTATAGGAGAACTTCTGGAACCAAGAAGGACAGCTGCCTTGAGCTGACCCTAAGGGTTCAAGGCCTGCAGAAAAGCACTTGATATATAAGTAGAATAACATAGTCAGAAGCACAGCTCCCTATAATGAAATAGTGGATATTAAGAGGAAAATGGGTTTAGAAAAGTCTAAAACCTAATCATTCTTTGAGACCAACTGTAGGTGTAACTTTCTTTGGAATTCCTTCCCTGAAATAAGATTCCTTACTCTGTATTCCATAGGGTCTAAATTGTATCACCCAAACACTATAACAATAGTTTAACATGGCTGCCTTTAGATTAAGACTGTATACTCAGAGCACAAGAACTGGATCCCTTGAACTTAGCTTTTTGTTTATTTGTTTGTTTTTTGTCTTGGCAGTACAGGAAACTGAACATGGATATGCTACCACTGAGCTATATCCCCAGGCCTGTTTATTTTTTATTTTGAGACACAGTCTCACTAAATTTCTGAGGCTGGCCTCCAATTTGCAATCCTTCTGCCTCAGCCTCCTGAGGAGGCTGGGATTACAGGTGTGCGCCACCATGCCCAGGAATTTTTTTTTTTTTTTTAATCTTGATGTGAAATTGCATGTTATCCTGCCTGTGCCAAGGTAACAAATCATCATTACATACCATTACATTTTTTTATAGTGAAGATGCTTACATTTTATAACACTAATAAGTATTTACTTAAAACTTACTTAAGCTTTAGAATTCAGAATCTGTTAAAAAATTATGCAGAAAACCTGAGCTTCTAAATTGGGGGAACATGCTTTTTAGAAGACTAATTACTTACTATTTTGCTCATGAGCGGAACAATGGGATTGTTGTATACTGCTTAGAATGAAACTGAAAACTGTGGAAAAAGACTTTTCCTGGAATTTCTGAGTAACATACCAAGTTGCATTATTTAGAACTAATACTTTGACCTCTATTAGCTAACAAGGGTTGCAATTCAATTAGTGGTTTTATACCAAGTCTTATAAATCGTGGGAGCTCTGCCAGAGATGTTTATGAACAGAACTACAAGAAAGAATGTTAGATGGGAATATTGTGAAATCCAATTGACTACAAGCTGGATTCTGGGTTGCATGAACTTCAGAATAGAAGTTTCTTCCCAGTCATAATGAGAAATCTCTAAAAACAACTATGACCAGCAAATTTAAATTATAACTTACATTTGAAATCCAGGCATGTAACCAGGTTACGTGAGCAAGTAAGAAGATTTCTGTAATTGTTGACCTAAATTACAGAAAAAAGTGACACCAGAAGAAAACACATTGAATTCTTACTGGCTAAAGGAGTGAAGGTATGGATCCCTGAATCACAGTACTAGAGAATATTGCCTTAGGGAATATCTAACCCCTATTTAGAGATTGGGACTTAAGGGACTGAGTAATTTACAACTACTCATCCTCCCAGTTTCACTTTCTGTATTTTCAACTACATTCAGACAAAAAGCAATCCAAAAATATTAAATGGAATATTTCAAAGTAAACAATACATAGGTTTTACATCACATTTTTGTGTGTGTGTATCGGGATGAATTCTCGTACAGTCCTGCTCTATCCTGGCCAGGCCATGAGTCATCTCCTTGTCCAGTGTATCCATGCTGTATACAGTACCTACCCATTAATCACTTAGTAGCCATGTTAGTTATCTGGTCAACTGTTGTAGTGCTATGTACAATTAACTCTTATTTTGCTTAATAAGGCCTCAAAGCACAAGAGTAGTGATGCTAGCAATTCAAACATGCCAAAGAGGAGATGCAAAGCACTTTAATTATGTAAAAAAAAAAATGAAAATTTATCGTAGGCATGTCTATATAGAAAAAATACTTTTTTGTGTGTGGTACCTGGGATTGAACCCAGGGGTATCTAACCACAGACCCATATCCCCAGCCCTTTTTTAAATACGTATTTTATTTACAGACAGGGTTACTTGAGGCCTTGCTAAGATGCTGAGGCTGGCTTTGAACTCATGTGCTGAGAGCCATAGCCAAGTAGGAATGACACATGGCAATTTCCTTGTCAGCCTACCCAATGTTGCTTAGAGGGAGGACTCTCCATTGTGAAAATGGGCTTGCCTTGGACCCAGGTCATTTGCAGTGACATTCCATGAAAGGTGACCTTGCTCAGGGATTAGGGCAGATCCAGGTTTAGGGTGGATCCGGGTTTA